TACCTTGGAGTGCAGACTGGGGGGCGCCTCACAGGAGTGCCCTCGTGGTGGACAGGTGATGTCACAGGATCAGGCGCGGCACTCGATGACACCGTTCTGAGGTATCTGATGGAACCAGGTAGCACAACCTGAATATTACCACTCCAAATACCTATTAACCAGTCATACGTCTGTGCTTTGGGAATTCATTGCATTTGGGATGTTTGTGGAACAAGTTAATACTTTAAAGAATGGAAATAGCTAACCCTTTATTGAAGACTCGGTGTATTGATGAATGATTGGTGTATTGGAGCATTATTGAATGACTCGGTGGAGTGGTTGCGGACTGCGGAGATACACACCTTGCATAAGTGTGAATACTGCCGGCCGGCCGGCCGCTAATGATACTCAGAAATGTCTGCTATTCTATGAATGACTTCCCTTCACTCGCTCGAAATAAGCTATTAACTAGAAAAACACCATAACAAAGAAACTAAAAATGTTATAATTACACTACTCAATTTCTAATAGCAGGCTAAAAAGCATGCTACTTACATCTTACAAAGACGCCTGACTGCAGTTCCGCTGGTGCATGCCATCGACTTGCACACCTGCTGGAGCTCCTGATGTCCTTTGGTTGACAAGCACACCCGTCTCGCGTTTCGAGCCGCACTTGTGACCTTGGTTCGCCTCACTTTTGATGTTGGTGTTAGGTTGAGAGCGCTGTAAAAATCGTACGAAATCTTAAGATGCCTGGAAATTAGTACCTAGCGGCAATCAAGGACAATGGGAAAGCTGCGCATCATGCCTCCCATTTCCCAACGTACGCGGCATTGATAATGCGGCTTTAAAGATGAACAACAGTTTGGTTATAACAACATTGATAACATTTATCATTCTATCTTTTAGCCTACTGATAAGTTGTCAATGCCTATAAGTCTATGTATAAATTATGTTAGGAAAAACAAAATAGGTTCTACTAATCAGAGCTTGCAAAGGTGTATACTTATGTAGTCACTGTACCGTTTCTTTCTCGTGGAGCTCCTTTTTCCATCCACAGACAGAGGAGTGGAGGGCAGATCCACGAGATGGCGAGGCACTGCGGACTGCGGACTGTTGGTCCGTGGGTCGCACATGGTGGCATCTGGCTCTGATGAACCAGGACGACCATCAGCCACGGGCGGTCCGTCATCATCTGAGGAGTGGCTGAGATGGAGCATGCCAAATTCAGTGGAAAAAAAAACTCATAACTAAACGCCAACATTGTGGTTTCTTAGACAGGTGTAATTGATAGATAGTCATGGGTATCACTGAAACATCTGGACATTTCCCTAACCCAGAGATACAGAGTCCTGCTTGTGCAGTGTGCACCCTATTAGGTACCGACCAGAGTTTCATAATAACTGTGACATTCAGCTTATTGTATGCCATGACTCACTGGTTTTACAAAAAAATGACTGAGCACTACAACAAGCATATTACAAAGGAGTCACATTACAGTTTAATCCATAATAAAAACGAAAAGGCAGTACAACAAATCTGCTATCACTCACCGAAGTCTCTTGGTAGCCATGCGTGGCTCGTCATCATCTGATGGGGGGCTGAAACAGAGCACACAATATCCATCAACATAAACATTATATATATTTAAACCTGTATTACATTACCATTGCATTACCATGTTAGCTTGTAGGTGGTAGGTATTAGGCTTTAGGTTGTAGGTAAGGTTGGGTTAGGTTCGGTTAGAGTTGGCTTGGTCAGGTTTGATAAGAAAGCATCTCTGGGTATAGCGCCTCTCCTTGGTTGCAAAAAGAAGTGTGATGCCTGCTTGACGACTACCGTTTTTTCTTGGTTGGAAAACCTTTGTGTGACGTCTGCTCTATTAATACCCTACAGACCACACATATGCCGGCAGTAGGTTGGTTGGTTCAGTGGCGCGGGAACTTCTTCCAGACTGGGGGGATGAACCATAATAGAGATCAACCTAGGGTACCCCCAAATCTAGTTTTCTCACCAGTTTTAGGCCACTTGTTTTTCAGACCTTGGCCTTTTCAACGAAAAAAACGAAAATATTTGCAAAAAGGTGAGGTATTCCATCTCAGCTCAGCTGACTGATGACGTAATGGTGTGGGCGGGACTAACGGGCGATGTAGCCCTCACTGCACATGCGTGCTGCAGCATATTTCATTTTTGCTGCGCAGCCGAACAGCCCTCAGGTTAGATCATGTTTTTATCTTCCTCAGGCTTCATCTACACATTTACTGATAACACCAGGGCCCAATCTTACCAAATGCAGTGAATGCGCATTCACGGCATTTGGTAACATTCAGAACTATTCCACATTCACTTATTTATTCGTTCACGCAACATTCATAATCATTCATGCTATCAAAATCATTGGACAAGATTAGCTGAATGCAAAAAAGTTTACCTTTGATATTAGCGCTGTAAACTCCGGCCAGTCCTGCCAAATCCTACTTACGGCATTGGTAAGATTGCACCCTGGTGTCAATAGCAATGTCTCATAATGATAGATGATGCAACTAGTGAGAATAAATCATAATTACCCAGGAAGGTTTTGGTCCGGTACGGCGTCATGTTTCAAGTATAGCTTGCCATTTGCTTCCACCATCTGAGTGGGGCTGAAATGTTTGCGGCAAACACGCCCTTGCTTCAGCAAAGAAGAATTTTTTCTACAATGTGTCAGCCAAACTTTTCTTCGCGTGTCGTCAATTTTGCCACCGGGAATAGCGCTGAGATCTTTCGTTCCATTGCAATTTCTTACACAGCATTTATCACCAGGCATTGCAACAAAACTTTAAATATTTATCAAATAATCAACCATACAAAGCAAGGAGCAAGGCGCAAGGAGTGCATTCGAGAGCAAGAAATGCGAGAAATGACACTGTTTACATTATTTTGCGCCACAAATGAACGGCAAGCGCCAGAAACGCAGCCAAATCTTGCGATTGCGACTACGAAATTCATTATTTTGGCCTCAGAGCCTGAAGCGAGAAATACAAGCATATTTATTTCAAAAAGACTTCAGGTTTGTCGAACGGTGTTATGAGAATTTTGATAACAGTACTGCATAAGTTTTTCAGTGATGCCGCAAAAGTGTTGTATCTATCTTCTTTTATTGTGCAGTCGGCGGGACCGATTCAAAATTGAGTCGTTGCTACTAAAATAGCAGCATATGGCCTCAGATGATAACCAGGAAAAATAGTTGCGTAAATTTAGACATAAAACACCCCCAAACCATGAATATCTTTTGAAGGCACTATAGACGACCATTAACTAACTAGATGTGATGAAGATCAAATGTAAGGAATACGCTCATTTTACAAAATTACATGCAAGTACCAAAAAGTGATGTAAGTACTTATTCAACGGTCATTTTCAGCGCTCCCCGCTAACGTGACTTCAAGTTGAGATATTTGCGGCAAGGTACCGAATTGAGCAAAATGGTTTCAATTTACATTATAACTTGTTGTGTTTTGTCAGAAAATGGTCCTAACTCAGATTTTGTGGAAAAAGGTCATAATCTCCCTTTAAGCTGCCTGGGGCAATATCTCACAAAGTATTCGACGGATGTGATTGAAAATGTCACAACACGAATCACCGGACTAGATAACCCCATAGGCGAAATTTCATTAAAATTGGAGAGGTATGGTGTTATTTCGCGATTTTTTTTTGTCGCTCTGTCGTGGAATGCCCCAGCTTCTAGCAAGGATACTCTTCAGTGACCTTGACCTTTGAGCAGCCTTGTATCGTAAGATGAACCACAAATAGGGACCTGATAAGCCTCAAAACATCTCAAAACATCTTGGAAGTTAGCACGTAAGATGTACGAAAAAGTGCAAAGTTTGAGGTCAATTTTGAGCATGACCTTCACCTTGACCTGTAATATTTTTAGCACATTTTCGGAATACTCAGATTCTCTTCTTTCGTCTGACATCCAATTTTGCCGGTTTTATGCATCCTGCCGTCCTCTAGAACGCTTACTTTGAGATCACTACATATGTGCCGGTTTTTGCCTATGACCTTGACCTCTGACCTTACTGACCTGAGGTCAAAAACTGTAGGTGTTTTAGAATCGCCTCGTAAGGACTTTTCGTTTGGTACCGCTTTTGTTTCCGTAGCTTCCTTATTTATGGAGTTAGATAGGGGGGGGCGAAAAACGCTCCCCCCCCCCAGGCTGCGGTGGTTGGGATTACCCCCGGGCCCGGCCGGGGTAAGGAAACGGTCTAGATTTGGAACTTGTAGAGAAGTGTTACGAGTTTTTGTGGATAGTGTTGTTAGAGTAAACAAGCGTTTTAGGAGCACAGGTAAGAGTATGATGGATCGACGCAAAGTTCAAAGAGAATAACTCAGAAGAATATTGAAAGAGTATTCAGAATTATAGTGTGTTTTTAAGAACATTGGAAGGGTTATGTAAGGGTAAAAAGAATATTTGTGGAGTCATAATAGAGTCAAAGAAGAGTTTCATATGAATTTTATCAGAGTTTGATGTCGAAGAAGTTGCATCGAGAGTAAAAAAAAATGACAACGCTCCCTAATGTGCTGGGAAGACTTTTAACAAATTGGCGTCCGCCGCCTTTGGGCCCCACCAATCATTTTCGGGAAACGAAGCCGCTGAGGTTTTAGGTTGGTAGGTTGTAGGTTGGTAGGTTAGTATGTTAGTAGGTAAGGTTATGTCAGGTTTGATTATGTTTTTTATCTTCAATCAGGCCCTTTCTACGCCTTTACTGCTTAGGTTAAGCCTTTTACATCAATATCGATAATTTTATGAGAAATTTTTGATAAAGTCAAAAATTGTCAAAAATTGATAGATTGAATACCGGTGACTAGATAGATATATGGCGGCTCGGGGGACGTCTGCTAAGAGCGTACCGACTACCGACGTTTCTTGTGTCCACCCTCAGCGGTCGGCGTGCTCGGTCCGACTTAATCTATTTTCGCCGTGCTTGATTAAATTGCACTCCCTTACACCGTGCTTGGTCGCCTTTCGTTTCCGGCAGGTGTACCCTGAGGGCACCATCCTGACGTCGGGTTTCAGCAAGTGGTTGAGCGCCGGCGGCTGGCGGATGGGGTACGCCCACTACCCGGCCGCGCTGGCGCCGCTTCTGTCGGCCGTGCGCTCGGCCGCCTCCAACACGTACAGCTGCGCGCCTGCTCCCCAGCAGCGGGCGCTGGCGGCCGCCCTGCAGCCAAAGCACGCGCACCAGCTGGACACCTACATCGGCACCTGCTGCCGCCTGCTGCGCGCCGTGGGCGACTACTGCGCCAGGTGAGCTCGACGGTAAAGTTCAAGTTTAAGTCCTAAACTTTACACATTCTTACATAATTTGACATGCCGAGTCCAAAAATCATACTCCCATGTCTCGCAAGAACAAAATTATCACCAAAACGCTAAGCAATAAGACCTCCCGACATCTCGCGACCAAAACACGCCGAGAGGGAAATGAAAACATCCAGCGCTACCATTGATGATAAAAATTTCCTGTCGGGAAATAAAAACATTAAATATATATAATAAAAAATAATAAAATATGTAATAAAATCATCTATTTTTTTGTTAAAAAAAATATATTTTAGAAAAATGTTTCTTTTGAAAAAAATATTATAATATAAAATTAAAATAGCAAAACAAGAAAGGGAAATGTTGGGAACCGGGGTCATTGGGTGGGGAGGGGGAACAAATACGATGAAACGGGTTAGAAAAATTTGGGAAATGTTGGGAATCGAGATTCATGGGTGAGGGAGAGGAAAATGAAAATGACGTCATAATGACAACGAGGGAAAATGGTGAAAAAATCGTATAATTACGTATTTTAAAATCATAGATAAAAATTGATATTTCTTCAACAATAAAAAACATTATTTGATGTCCGTTCCAATTATGTTATGAAAGTGACGTCATTTTTATAAAAAAGAAGTAACACGAAATTATAATCCGAACCTAACCTAACCTGGCCTGACCTGACCTAACCTGACCTAACCTGACCTAACTTAACCTAACTTAACCTAACTTAACCTAACCTAACCTAACCTAACCTGACCTAACCTAGCCTAACCTGACCTTACTTAACCCGGCAGGCGGTGGGCCTCCCGGCCACCTTCCGCGCGGTGGGGGGGGGGGGGCATTTCCCCCCCCCCCCCCGCATCTCCGAAACTACTGGACGGATCCGTAAAATTCAAACGGCGTTCGATAGCCCTGTCATTTTTGTCGAAGAAAACAAAATTTCCTTGACCTCGGGGTCACCGATGACGTCACAGGTCAGGTCAAAGATAAAATGTTTCACCGTTCACGGGTCTTCTAGGGAATGCGCTATAACACCGAGGAAAACGCATTTTGTCGAAAATCAGCGATAGGGCGTCAGTTGCCTAGTACATATGTTGCTATTAGAGGTCACTGACAATACCAGGTCAGGTCACAGGTCAGGTCACCAAGGGCCAGCACATGAACCCAAGTTTACTAAGGTTGTGCGATGCATGTTATATGGCCAATTTTTCATTTCCAACTCAATGGTGTTGGTTATAAGACCATCAGGTACGGCTTAGGTCACTTTCTGGTGGAGGTCAGGTCAAGGTCAGGTCAAAAAAGGTCAAATTTCAAAGTTGATAGTTTTGCATAAAATAGACATCGATTCGATTCAGCTCGTCACGGGGAGTCTAACGATGGTCTTTGTTTTGCACTACGAGGTCTAGAATTGCTAAAAATTGAGTTTGAAAATTTTACGTCATCAATTTTGAACAGTTTTCTCGCTATAACTTGGCCAAAAAAGAGGTATCGATCTCAAATTTGGTATGTAGATAGAAGGCGGTAGGGACTATCACATATATTCCGTTTATTTTAATTCAGAAAACTTTTTGGATTTTTCGGCTATTATATTCAAAAATTCTATTTTTTAATTTTTGGGGGTCAAAATCCGAAAACTTCAAAAATCAGAGATAACAGTTCTATAGCCCTCTTGCTTCTACACCTTTTATGTATGAAACATTTTTCTGTATCTCTAAAGCTGTAGGCCTGACATCTCTTTCTGCAAAACCTTTTTTTTTAGGTCAAAAATGGCAGAAATGACGTCACTCTGACGTCATTAGCGGCCAACCTATCATAGCCCTCGGAAAAAATAGTCACAATGTGCAATAGCTATTCACGGGAGGGTACTGAAAGTTTGGTGACGATCAGCGCAGCAGTTCTGGAGATATATCGAAAAAACTAAAGGGTGGGGGGCAAAAAATGCCCCCCACCGCCTGGAAGGTTAATCGATGATGTTCTCTGATAATATGACAAAGCATGCATATAAGCAATTAGTACAACCCTAGCTGATAGCTCCTAGGAGACACACTGAACCTTATTTGACCAAATCTGCACCTAATCTGCACCAGATGTGCACCAAATGTGTACCAGATGGCCGTCGTGAAAACGGCTATTATTAACCAAGTGGCCACACTTCCTGGCCGCCATTTCAATGTCATTTCTGTCCCGGGCGAAATGGTGGGCGAATGCCCGATCTCAGGTCTATGCGTAGACCTGAGTTACACAGGTGTAGGGGAGAGTGGGGCACAATCGTGCATGGGGCACATTCGTTTTCAGCAGTTTATGGGAACACGAGTGACTGCACGAGCTCAAGGTAAATTATGGAAATATGTATATTATTGCCGCCCTTCGTTCACCGTAGAAGACAACACTGTACCTGCTGTCATGCTTGATAAAAGCGCAAATTTGTAATATTAGTGAGCTTTCCAAACTTTTCTTATGTCATCCATTTTCGTGATCCTGACTCGGAAATGTGGTTCAGCTTTTCAAAATTGGGGGGGGGGGGCGAAGAAGCTCACTCTATTCACGGAACTGCTGCAAACTTGTTTGTTGACAAAGTGTCATTTTTTCAACAAGAAATTTTGAAATATATTACAAATAACGTTGTGGGGCAGGTTCGTGTACACACTGCCTGGGGGCACATTCGTGTATATTTTTAAGTTTTTGCGAGCTATGACTTTATCTGTGGTAGTTTTCACTAATGACGCTCGCCTGACTCAGTCTCGGCTGCTTGCGACGTCGTGACGAGTAATTCACGCGAACTTGGCAATGTCACGGAGGCCGGCAGTTGGCACATTCTTGTTGGCCAGCCCATTCTTTCTATTGTCGAAAAGAATCAAGTGAAATGACCCCCTACCAATTTCCTTTGGTAAATTTCTGATAATGCCCGGTAATTTCTCGAACTTTGCAGGGTGCACGGAAGTGCCCCATCCCTTGCACGAATGTGCCCGATAGGTGGGGCAGTTTCGTGCAAACGCTCAGAGTTATTAAAAGTCATTTTTTTCTGATAGAAGCAATAATTTTAGAGGATAACTTTCAAAGAGGAAAAATATCTGCAATAGTTTCTTTCCATACTACAATCAACAATTTTGCCGTTGCACTAACCAAAGAACAGATATAAGGATGTATCCATTTTTTTGCACGAATGTGCCCCACTCTCCCCTACAGAGGTCTATGCCTAAATCCTAAGTAATCCGCCGCCGCCGCCGCCGCCGTGTGCAACGTAGTCACTTTGTAGCGCTTATTGCGGCGGCATCCGTTGACCTACGGACGTGAACTTTTACAGAGATGTGGGCCACCTTTACACGTAGGTCGTTTTAACTTTTGGACATGATGCGGCCGGGGGTGCGCCCTTGGCGCGTGCTCAAGTGCGCCATAGGGTTAACATCAAAGACGGCAAAAAACAGGCTATTGCTCGGGAACGGTGAGGGCTACGGGGGTGAAATTTTCACGCCAAGTCGGACGCGTGCACTCATTTACCGTATTAAATTGTCGATGGTGTGGGCTCAGCGGTGTGCACGTGGTGGGGTCGCGACCGGCACCGAGCAGATGCCACGTGCTTTAGGTTCAGTTGTTCGCTTAAAAAAAAAAAAACTGAGTAAAAAGAATCCAAAGCCAGTGGCGTCCAAAGCCAGTGGCGAGGACGGCGTAACCATAGCCATGTTGCGAATGACCTGGCCAGTGATTGGACCATATGTACTCGATGTTGTCAACTCATCGTTAGTGTCAGACTCTGTCCCGGATGTGTGGAAGCGGGCCATAGTAATACCGATACACAAATCCGCCAGTGTTACCGACCCATGTAATTACCGCCCGGTGTCCGTCTTACCCGTAGTCGCAAAGTTAGCGGAAAGTGTGGTGTGCGTTCAGCTGCTCCGGTACTTGCTGTCACATTCGATTCTAACCCATGTGCAACACGGTTTCCGGCCTGGCCGACATACCGAGTCGGCGATGTTAGATGCGGTTAGCCACTTCATGGATTGTTTAGATAAGGGTCAAATTGCGTCCTTATCAACAGCTGATACCAGTAAAGCTTTCGATAGTGTTCAGCATCAGCGGCTAATTGAGAAAATGGGATGGCATGGCATCCATGATCACTGGTTCAGAGATTGGTTAGAAGGGAGAAGTCAGAGGGTAAAGGGGGGGGGGGGACAAGAATTTACTACCCATCACCCATGGCGTGGTACAGGGGTCTTTGCTCGGACACGTTCTTTTCACAATTTTTAGTAACGATTTTTAGTATTCGTTGTAGTATTCGTTGATGACGCGAGCATCGTGCAGTACGCGGATGACACTCAGGTTCTCGTGGGCGGGAGGCCCGGAGACATTGGCGCCCTGATCGGATCCATGGAACAAAATTTGTCACTGCTCTCGAACTGGTTTGGCAAAAATGGTATGAAAATCAACGCTCAGAAAACTCAGCTCATTGTTCTCGGCACTCGTCAAAATCTCCGGCAGCTTCCAACAGTCAGCATCAACTTTATGGGCGCCACTGTCTCCGGCTCTCCCGCGGTGCGGAATCTGCCGGCGTCGTATTTGACCAATGTATGTCATTTGCCGCCCATACCGATGATGTCGTCCGGCGCTGCACAGGTATTTTAATTGGATTGAGTCACTCTAGACATATTTTACCGTATTCGACGCTCACCACCCTAGTCCAAAGTCTAGTCATTTCGCTCATCCGCTATTGTATCAGTGTGTACGGCTCCTGTAATACCACTCAGCTCGCACGTCTGCAAAAGCTGCTGAATTTCTCAGCCCGTGTGATATTGGGGCGTCGGAAGTTTGATCATGTTAGTGACGTCCCGCATGACCTGGGATGGCTGTCCGCGCGTAACATGTACTCATACCATGTGCTGACCCTATTGAAACGTATGCTGGTCACTGCGCAGCCCGAGTCAATCGCGAGTAAAATAGTGCATAGACGTGACGTACATCAGCGAGCCACAAGACAGATAGATATGCTA